TATACCCATTCACTAAAGGGTTAAAAAATTGAAATTAAAAAAACAGACTTTTGGAAAAAAATCCTTTACTTAAAAAAAAGGACAAAGGATTTTGACAAGTCCTTTATTGTTAAAGAAAAACCCTCATTCTACATAGGTCGTACCGTACACCTGAATTCCTGACTAAGATAGGTATGCGGGATGATCCGTCCTGTCCAAAATGCGGATTCCACCAGGGCTCACTAATACATCTACTATGCAGATGCCCCAAGCTGGTCAGATACTGGGGCCAAGTAATTGCAATGATTAATTCAATTTTTGATGTCTCTATTGACCCCTCCCCCCTTGCTTGCTTGCTGGGGGGCTTAGAAGCCCTCAGTCTGACTACTAATTTAAAGATGGCTGTCCATAGAGCTCTTTTTACTGCTAGGAGACTTATCACCCGTAAATGGATATCGCAATCCCCGCCTACAGTTGCTGAGTGGATGCTGGAATTAGATAGGATCACTGCCTTTGAACGGGTAACATACCAACGGAGAGGGCTAGAAAATAAATTTCTCCTGATTTGGTCCCCATGGCTGAGCTTCAGATCCCAGCAGCCGTAGCCTTTCTTTGGGTAATGCTTCCCTCTTTGGTATTAGCGTGTATTAAACATCTGTTTCACATTGATACTGCTCTTTATACATATGCAAATGCTTACTATGACTCTATGCATTACGTTTGGACTGTACGAAAATACCTCTGTAACTGCATACTTCTTTCAGGTCCGCGCGCTGTGAGGTGCTAGTTTGGTACTTGGTGAAAGTTCTGTGTTTCTTGTTTTTCTTTTATTATGTCTGTACTATGTAATTGGTAGTATTGGGATCTGTTTGTGAAAATGTTTAATAAACACGATCCGATTAAAAAAAAAAAGAAAAACCCCCAAAAATGGATCCATCAATGTAATCCAGGGCCAATCACGACGTCCAGCGTTGTCCACGACGACGACAACTTGACGAAATAAAAAATAAAACAATACTAAATAAATAGAAATAATTTTTTACAAAAAAAGACAACCGCCGTCCCGTCCGCTGGTGACGGACATCCGCCGCATAATGGCATTTTAAAAGATGCCAGCAAAACATAAACAAGTGACAGCTAGCTCCACCCAACGGTGTAGTTTTACGTCAGATGGCAGGTACGCCATGATTGGGCAAAGTCATCATGACTTTGCCCAATCATGGCTCTTACAGTGTACTGAGCCCTGATTGGGCAAAATCTTGCACTTTAGCCAATTAGGGCTTCACAAGGTGCAGTGCCTTGTGGGGCGTTCAGCGGTCGAACAGACCGTCGCACGCCCCTATAGTTTGTGTGTTTGGCGAACACATGAACTAGCGATGTTCGACTCGAACATCCAGCCCAACACTGGTAAGGAGATCACTGGCTCTGGCTAGGCAGCTGCAAAAATGCCAGGTACCCCACAGAGGATACCCAAAAGACTCACAAAAAAGATCACAGTGATGGGTGCCACACCAATCAATGAATTATTTTGGTCAGATTTTAAATATTAAACCATTTATGGTTCCTGAAAGTTAAATGATTTGGCGCCCCTTATTATGCTGTTTACATAAATGGCCTTTAATATTTGATCCATTTGTTCAATAAAGCAAGGGCAATGTAAAATGCTTTGTGCTATAAGTTAAAAGCCTTAATTTATTACTATGAGTCACATGACAGTCACATCACATTTTAGTAGCCATTCATGCAGAATTTAAGATAATTTTTAAAGGCTTGCAAAGAACTTTCTAACAACTTTGTAAATGTATAAGTATATATATATATATA